TTTAAAAAAAATTAAATTAAGACTTTTAATATTAATTGAAGATAATAATAATTTACAATTTGGTGCAGCAGACTAGGTACTAAGTTGATGATGGGATACAATTAGAGGTAGAGTATTTGGATGAATTCTTCTTAATAAATGATGAGCAACTCCACCAAATCCCAGCTTTTGACTAAGTCAGAATACTCAAAAACAAAATCCAAAGCAACATCCCAGAGAATCTTTTAACATCCTCCTCTGAAACTCAGGTTGAATTGAAACTTGGAAACATACACCTTTTCTTTTCTACATATTTTCCAATATATTTAAAATACTACTTCTATATATATCTTTTATTTCATTTTTTATAGGTCAAATTTCCTATTTGCACCCTCCATTTAATTTTTTTTTACAGTCAACACCTTTCAGATTTCTTTTTCCCTATTTACACCTTTCACTTTTAAAAAGTCGTAAAAAACCCAACATTTTAACGCTCTGTTACGGTACCATTACAAAATTTACTACGTGGCACTCAAAAATTGACGTGGCCACTATATACCGTTAGTAATCTAACGTGAATGCTTTTTTTTTTTTTTGATGATGTGGTTTATTTAAATAAAAAAATAAAAAAATATAGAACAGGAGCTCTGGGTTCCGGAACCCAGAGCTGGGTTCCTTGTGAGGAACCCGATCTGGGTTCCTCATCGTGAGGAACCAAGATCGGGTTTCTCTGGAGGAACCCAGCTCGAACCCTCTGGGTTCCTTGTGAGGAACCTGATTTGGGTTCCTCATCGAACCCAGAGTTGGGTTGTGAGGAACCCGATCTGGGTTCTTCATGGGTTCCTCCCGAGGAACCCAGATCGGGCTCCTTGTGAGGAACCCAACTCGAACCCTTTGGGTTCCTTGTGAGGAACCCGATCTGGGTTCCTCACGACGAGGAACCCGATCTGGGTTCCTCACGACGAGGAACCCAAATCGGGTTCCTCCGGAGGAACTTAGCTCGAACCTGATCTGGGTTCCTCACAAGGAACCCAACTCTGGGTTCGGGAACCCAACTCTGGGTTCGGGAACCCAGCTCCGGGTTCTGGAACCCAGAGCTCTTGTTCTAAATTTTTTTTTTTGGTGGGGACACGGGGACAAGTGGGAAAAATCCCGTGCAGTGGGCCCCACTGCACACGTGGCATTCACATGTGCAGAAAAGAAGCCACATCATCAAAAAGTAGATCCACATCTGAACTTAACGAATAAGGAAACGCTACATGTGCCACATCAATTTTTGGGTGCCACGTAGTGCATTTTTTAACGGTGCCGTGATGATTCGTTAAAATATTAGGTTTTTCACGGGTTTTGAAAAGTGAAAGGTGTGAATAGGGAGAAAAAATTCTGGAAAGTGTTGACTGTGAAAAAGAAATAAATGGAGGGTGCAAATAGGGACTTTGGCCTTTTTTATATGTTTAATGATAACAGGCTATACATATAACATGGTATTCATACTAAATATTTTTTTATCTGTCTAAAGGTTATTAGGAATATCATTTAATTAACATTAACAAACAATAATAGAGACTTTAGTTTGATAGGTAAGTTGAACCACATCAAGGTTTGCTGCAACCATATTAAAACCCATACTGAGATAATTAATTTATCTTACTTTAGCTGTTAATCTAACTATAAGAATTGAAATTTGAGGAAGTTAATAACATAATTGAAGGGGGAGGGGGGAGGGGGGGGGGCGGGGGTGTGACAAGGTCGTTTTCACAGTGATAGTGCACGCTATCTTATTCCCACAATGGGGATTGGGCAGCCCTGCCCTCTACAAGTCCTAGAAACCCTAGACTTGAGTTCCCCTAACCCACGTCTTCCATGACTATGCCTACACGGAACATTAAAAAACTTCGTTCACTGTACCTTTCTTTCACATCTATTATTCTATTTAATTGTCTTTCTACATATTTTCAGGTAACCTCGGAAGCCACTGCGAGACAAAGGGTAGTTCTATTAGTTCAGCTAATTTTTTGATTCCCCCCACCCCCACTGTATCACTTGTTCCTTTCCATTCTATCAAACCCTTTTAATCTCACACACACATGTGCACATGTATATACAATTTATTTATATATAAATTTTATATATTATATTTATATAAAATTTTAATTATTTAATTTTTTTATTTTCAATAATTATAATTTATTAATATTTTTTTAAAAATAATTTTTTTATTTAAAAATTATAATAAATTTTAATTATTAAAAATAAAAAGATAAATTGTTAAAATTTTATATAAATATAATATATAAAATTTATATGTAAATAAATATCTTCTTATATATAAACAATTTTTAGTGTCACAAATCAATATTCAATTTTTTTTAATTATTATAATTATTTATTATTTTTTTATTTAATAATATTATAATTATAATATTATGTAAGATGTATGGTTATAATTATAATATAATATTAAATAAATATGATATGATATTAAATAAATAAATAAATATCTATAATATCATAAATAATTTTTTAGATAAAAATAATTACATAATAATATATTATATTATAAATTTAAAATAATATGTGATATTATGTCTATAATATTTTTATTTTTTATTTAATTTATCATTAAAAAGCTTTACATATGTGAACAAAAGTTTGGGGCTAATTTAAAATATTTGATTTGAGATCATTTTAATTTAAAATTAAGGTAAAAATCCTTATAATATCAATCATAAATTGAACCTGACAAGAGGGCTAAGTAACTATAATCACTTTTATAAGATTTATATTTCCCTCCCAAAAGCAACAATTTGAATCTATCCTATGATTAAAATGTTAAAAAAAAATTTCAACCATAAATTCTTCGATATACTTAGAAAAAATAAGGGCACACGCGGAATAAAATGAAAGGGGTTGTACTTGTATGGGCTATAAATGAGCTGGATGATTCTTTTTGCAGTGGGGAATAGAGAGAAATATGGCTTAGAAGAATTGAATTATTGTGTTTGGGTAAAGTAAACTAATAATAAGTTCGTACTTTGTGATTTGTATGGCCTGGCATGCCACCATAGCTGCTCCTTACTGTGTTTGAAAACATGTTTGAGCCACATTCTATAAATTTTTAATAGAATTTCAGACTCAACACACCATAATATTTATTTCAAAAAATATAGTAGTTATCCTCCCTATATGAACATTGCCAACCTTGAAGGGTGCCCACAAGTCCTCAAATTGTTCTAAATTTTGGACGTCAAAAAAATGACCGGAATTTGGATTATCGATGAGCAAGTTTCTCTTTTTTTTTTTTTAATAAAAAAAGTGCAATATAATTTAAATTGTCTCAAATTATATTACATTAATTATTATATAAAAGGTGACTTCTTTAATATTTAAATTTCTTTCATTTAATAAATTTTATTTTATAATTTAATATAATTTAAACCGTAAAACAAGAATTTCCTTTTTATTATTAGCTAGCCATTTAGAAGAATATCAACAAATTTTTTTTTTAAACATATTTTTTGATGAGAAGAACTGGACAGCATTTTCGTGACAGGTTTTCTTTGGCAAACCTACCAAGGATATTACTGTGATTGCAAGCCCACAAGTTTCTGGCCCAAGCCTATTTCCTAACAGACCAATTTTTTCCCCGATTGGGCTGGCCTAAGAACCCATTTTTCCAGAAATTTGGTTGTATTTAATGTTAGACATTGGATATTGCTCGATGTAGTTTCTTATGTTTCAAAAATGACCATGTTAAAAATGTGTTTGGCACAAGGAGATCTGGTCATGGTGAAGAAACTAACTTGACTCCAAGCAGTTGCTAATTAAACCAACATCGAAATTCCCTAAAAAGAGCTGTGAAGGGGATTGTGCTTGTGCTTGTGCTTGTGCTTGGCGACAATTATTGAATTCCAAGGTATGGAAATAAAATATTTGAAAAGAGGAAAGAGTAATGGCATGGACCATGGAGAGCGGTTGTGATATACACCTCAGTGAAGAAACCAAGAGGGAGAACGTACGCATGCACTTAATCACTCGTTGAAAAGTTGTGCGTTAGTGGTGGCGGCTTTGGACAAGGACACTTCTTATGGAAACGTGATATAATTTGCTCAGTAAAATACGGATCGAGCTTGGCGACTTGATTTTTTGTTGGTTCATTCCCTCTCACTTGGATGGTCCAATTCTCACATGCTTGTCGGGTGGCAGTCTATTATTGACTTTAGACTTTCTACTATTTGGTTTTCAAAGTTGGTGGGGTTGGTCTGGATATTCATGCCTTCCCAACTCTGTTTCTGAACCTGTCGGCTGTCCAATTCGCTTGGTGGGGGGTGGTTTGTGCAGCAACAAACTAACAATTTGGTGGCTTTGGCACACAAGAAACAAGCTTTGGTTTGAAGGACCAATTGCTTCAGCCCCGGACTTGATCTGGAGCGTTAAAATTCAAAAAGGCATTCATTCCTTCTCTTGGTTTTCAGCTCTCTTTTCTTCTTTTAGGATTTTTCCTTTTCTTTGCCGTGGAATATGAGTTTTATTATTTATTTATATAGTTAATGTTTATTCGCCTTACTTCTTAAATATTAAGAAAAAAATTATTTTAAAATTATGTAATTTTAATAAAATACTATAAGGAATGATAAAAAATACTTTAATTTATGTTTTAAAAGTAAAGTATTTTAGTATTTTTTAATGAAGATTTATTGAAATGATATAATTTTAAAATAATTTTTTTCTTAATTTTTAAGAAGTAAGCAGATAAATATTATGTAATTTTAATAAAATACTATAAGGAATG